AGCTCCGGCCCGCCCCGCGCCCGGCTGGGCCGGCCAGGAAGTCGTACTGGACGCCTGGAGTGAATCCCCACCCCGCTCCGTCAGCCAAAGTTCACCGCCCTGAAACTCAGCTGCCCAGTTAGTCAGGATAGCACCTACCAGGGAAGGTAACCCACGCCCTACACAGCTGCCCCGTTTCTGCCCTCACAGGCAGTCCCCCTCCGCTGCGGTGCCCCCACCCCTGGACCCTTTCGTTCCCTGCGGGTCGCCTCTAGCGGCGTTCTCACGAAGTGGGCGGCGGCGCAGGCCGGAACGCCCCCTCGCCGGGTGTTGCCCTTAAGCCAGATCTGGCAAGGTTCTGTCTTTGGGAGCCACATGGCTCCCGGAGACAGGAGGACTTTGGGGACCGGGTGGCCCTTAGACTGGTCATATCATACTTAAGGCTGGGGCTGGGTTTGTTTCAGCAAAAGGGCTCAGGGTGACCTTTCTGGCAAGGGTCCCTTCATGGGCGTCTTCCGTCCCCTCCCAGGTGGCGTGGTGGAGATAGGTGCGCACTGGATCCATGGGCCCTCCCGGGGCAACCCTGTCTTCCAGCTGGCTGCAGAGTACGGGCTGCTGGGGCAGAAGGAGCTGTTGGAGGAAAACCAGCAGATAGAGACAGGGGGGCACGTGGGCCTGCCCTCTTTGAGCTACACCAGCTCCGGGGCAAGTGTCAGCCTCCAGCTGGTGGCTCAGATGGCCAGTCTGTTCTACAGTCTGATAGACCAGACCCGAGAGTTCCTGCATGTGACCGAGACCCTGGTGCCCAGTGTCGGGGAGTACCTCAAGAAGGAGATCAGCAATCATGTGGCCGGCTGGACGGAGGACGAGGAGACCAAGAAGCTCAAGCTGGCTATTCTGAAGACCTTCTTCAACGTGGAGTGCTGCGTCAGCGGCACCCACAGCATGGACCTGGTTGCCCTGGCGCCCTTTGGAGAGTACACTGTCCTGCCAGGGCTGGACTGCACCTTTTCTGGGTATGTGTTCAGCGGTCCTCTCCACCTCCCTGTACGCTCTCCAGGGCCAATGGCCTTGCTTGGGTTTTAGGTGGCAGAGGAGGCGTAAGGGAGACCAGAGGCCACTTGCACTCCCTGTTCAGAGAAATTTGTTGCTTGTTTCTCTCTTTTTTTTTTTTTTGAGTTGGGGTCTCACTCTGTTGCCTAGGCTGGAGTGCAGTGCCATGCTCATGGCTGCCACAGCCTCGGCCTGCTGGGCTCAGGTGATCCTTCTGCCTCAGCCTTCCAAGTAGCTGGAACTACAGGCGCGTGCCACCACACCTGGCTCGTTTGATTTATTGTAGAGATGAGGTCTTGCCAAGTTGCCCGAGCTGGTCTCGAACCCGTGGGCTCAGACAGTCCTCTCACCTCGGCCTCCCAAAGTGGTGGGATGATAGGCATAAGCCACTGCTCCTGGCGTTTCTCTTAATTTTTTCAGGGCAAATCTTGCTTACTTAAGCAAAAAAAAAGTTATTTTCAAGCGAATGACTAAAAGGAGGAAGGACGTCTCTTCCTGTTGTATTTACTGAGACCTCTTGCATGCCAAGTGTTATGTGAGGGGCAGGGTGGCTGCTCACTGCCAGGTGCAGACCCTCCACAGGGCTGTCCCCTGACTCTCCCAGGCATCATTGCTGGAGTCAACCCCTTGGCTCCTGCCTAGAGGATGGGCATTTGTGCCTCAGGAGACGTACAGAACAGGAGCTCTAGGGTGGCAAGGAGGGAACCCTTGTTCCCTGCAGATTACCTCAGGAACTTTGCGTTCATTAACTCACTTAATCCTACCATTATCCTAGAAGGCAGGTATTAACATTCCTGTGGTAAGTGGAAAACCACAGGGTGGAGCCATCCCTGCCCTCCTTCCCCAACGGTGGGAACTTGGAGGGCTTATTTCCACAGTCTTTCCTGTCCAGGACGCTCTAAATGACATCAACATCTCTCCTAGGGGCTACCAAGGACTCACAGACCGCATAATGTCCTCCTTGCCGGAGGACGTCATGGTTTTTAACAAGCCCGTGAAGACCATTCACTGGACGGGATCCTTCCAGGAGGCGGCATTTCCTGGGGAAACCTTCCCGGTGTTGGTGGAATGTGAAGACGGAAGCTGCTTCCCAGCGCATCACGTCATTGTCACTGTGCCCTTAGGTAGGGCCTATTTTTCTGGTCAGATTTGCAGTCGAAATCCCCATCCCAAGTGTCCCTGGCCTCTGATCTTATTCTGCCTCAGTTGACTCCAGGGCGTTTGCTTGACTACATAGCTCACATTTTCATTCTAATAATTTTCAGATAGGAGGCAGAAATTACTCTACTATGTTTCGTAGCAACTGCATACTTTGGAATTAAGGGTTTCACAGTGAGAGAAAATGCAAGTGAGCTCATTTGAGGTCCCTGTTAAAGCTGGGACTGCTTTAGAGGTTGCCTGTGCTTTCTTGGAGACAAGAAAGGACATGAAGAACTTGGTCTCAAGGTTAGACCTCATGGTAATCTGTGGAAGGAGCCGTATGTACAATTCTGTGTAAGTCTAGATCTGGTGCTTTAGATAGAAGTCTTTGGGTAAAAGTTGTCTGACAATTTTATAAAAGGTGGAGATGATTAAAAACAAAGTTGCTAGGAGAATTGCTTTTGACTGGATGCTTGTTTCATGTGGTGGTCCCCGCCATTAATCTCTGCCTGAGTCATTGCATCGACCCCTTGGGTGGTGTCTGGCGCTATCTCCTGTTTAACAGATTTGAACATCTAGGCAAAGAGAGAAAAGTCACTTAATTGCCCAAGTTCTCAATGCTAGGAGGTGGCAGAGCTCGCTTGGAAATCTGGGTTTGGTAGAAGGGTGTGTGATGGAAAGCAAGCCTCCATCTCCATATTCCTCCCCCCTGGGCGGTTGCGGGACTGTGCTGGATCCTTCTAGAAGGTGTTGTGCAGGGATGACCCCACTGCTGTTTCCCACAGAGGGAATCACACTAGACATATTAGCATCGGCTGCTCAGTTTGCCTTGTTTTTAGAGCTTTTCGTCAGTGTTTCCAAATCAGTTCATATAGATCTACAATGGTCTTTGCTTTTTTTGAAAGCCAGTGGCTTTGTTCATTCATATTTGTAGTACATGCTTGCTGAGCCTGAGAATGCTAATCACTGGGAACATTGTCCGTAGATACATCGTTACAACTGTGCCCATTTTGTTAACAAGGAGCCAGCTTATGTGCTACCCAAAGGTACGTAGGTGTCATTACTTTAATAAATATTGATGGAAATTTAGGTGGTTTTCACTTTTTTCTGTTTCATACGTTTCACCTGTGCACTTAAAAATGCTTGTGTGGTCCAGAATCTGTGACTCAGCCTGTCATCCCAGCACTTTGGGAGGCTAAGGCAAGTGACTTGCCTGAGCCCGTGGATTCGAGACCAGTCTAGGCAACTTGGCGAGACCTCGTCTCTACAATAAAAATAAAAAATTAGTTGGGCGCGGTAGCATGCACCTGTAGTTCCAGCTGCTTGGAAGGCTGAGGTGGAAGGATTGCTGGAGCCCAGCAGGTCGATGCTGGGGTGGCCATGAGTGTGCCACTGCACTCCAGCCTGGGTGAAGGAGTGAGACTCCAACGAAAAAAAAAATGCTTGTGTGAAGGTGTCTGCAGCATAAATTCCAGTAGTGGGAGTAGCTGGATCCAAGCTCTGGACAATGACTGCGTGGAGGACACAATACCCCTTTGTGTACGCCCAGAGCCACAGAGTGTGTGGGTGCCTGTCCTGTTGTTCTCACCACCTGTTGCCCTTTGCTTGGTTGTTTGCTGTTGGGTTGTTCATCTTTGTCTTACAGACTTGCAAGGATTTGAAGGAGATTGGCTTGTTATCATGTGCTGCAGATACATCTCCTGGTTTGACCTTGTTGTTAGTTTTTTTGTCATGCAGATCTATATTTATGTGGCTTCCAGATAAAGCCTGTGTATTTAACTGTGCGTCTGAGCTAATTCCTGAGCAGCATGGTGTGCAGAGGCTGAGACACTAGCTGTCCCTAGGAACAGTTGTGCAGGTGGCGATGACAGTCCTGACATGACTAGTGGTGTCCCTCTGTTTTGGTTTTGGTTACCCCAAAGTGTGGGTCCTGACAGCCAGAGGCAGCCTCAGCCCTGTGTTCCCAGAGTCCTGTGTGGATGGGCCTTGGAGAGGTGGCATTGTTGAACCCGGGACTCTAATGAGAGAGATAGAGACCACAAAGAGCCAGCTCCGATGCAAACACACGAGGGTCTTTATTCAGGCTCGAGTCTGAGCTCACACCCGAAGCAGCAGCTTCAGGGAGGAGAGCCCCGATTCATAATGGCAAGCAGTTTTTATGCACAATTACAGAGGGAGGGGAAAAAACTCCAAACTTGATTTTACATGATTGGGTAATTTCTCCTAATGGGTACGGGAACACTTGGTATTGGTGGGTGCTGCCCGTGATTGACAGAAACCCACGTAATGGGCCGAGTGGAATGTTAGATAAGTTAGGTCCATACAGTCCCTGCGTATGAAGTAACCTGAGCCGGCAGGCAAAGGATTACATTAGCCCTTTAAGTTTCCATCCCAAGGTATGCTTAGGAAAGCTTGTTTGCTTAACATTTACATAACATAACATGGTCATTATGGGACAGCAAAAGCCAAACTTAACAAAGTGTTAAATATGAATGCTCCAAACCCATACAGTGAATGTGGGGTAGAAAAGCATATACTAATTCTGGGAATTTATAAAATATCACAAGCTTTATTATAGCAAGGCGGTTACTTTTATAAAAGTCTTTGTTCCCTGCAGGTTTACATAGCCACTGTGTTTAAATTATCACTGGGATAAAACCGGTGATAGAGAGCAGCTGGCGCCTCTGAGTCTGCTGCCACCTTGTAGGAATGTCTGAAAGGGGCTTATCGCTTTATCATTTACATCCTGTTGTAAAAGCACAAGTTAGTCTGCTAACTTGGGGCTGACAATGCTTAACCCAAGAGTTCTAAATACAAACACTGCTTAAAACCCGACATATGCCTAATTCTACGGGGTCTGAGGTAGGATTTAAAGTACTAAAATTTCATAAAATGCATGAGGTAGGAATACACAAAATATATAGTAAACATGAGGTGGGGATATATGAAATACAGTGAACTAAACGCTACTTTTACAGCAAATAAGTTTCTTGGTTTCCTGGGTCTCTCAATAGCATGCTCTTAACCTAAATCTATTGTTGTCCTCTCAGCATGTCTCTAAACCTCTTCTTCTGACTCCCCTGGTGGACTCAGGGTGGACTTCTATGGGCTGTTGATTCTAGTTTAAGCCAAGTCTCATTATGAATTCCAGGTTTTCTTAAGGAACATCTGGATACCTTCTTTGACCCACCACTGCCCGCTGAGAAGGCAGAAGCAATCAGGAAAATCGGCTTTGGGACCAACAATAAAATCTTCCTGGAGTTCGAGGAGCCCTTCTGGGAACCGGACTGCGAGCTCATCCAGGTGGTGTGGGAGGACACATCGCCTCTGGAGGATGTTGCCCCTGCGCTGCAGGACGCCTGGTTCAAGAAGCTCATCGGGTTTTTGGTCCTGCCTTCCTTCTCGTATGTATGCCCCCACCAAGGGGCTCTGCGGGAGCTTATGGGGAGCACTGAGTGGGCTGATCGGGATCTTTGGCTGAATGAGGATCCAGCAGTATGTTGGTTTACTGCGAGGTGTATTGGGGGGGCTTTATGGGTAGGGAGCCCACAAGCTCCCCAGGGTGCTGGCTTTAGACACCCTGGTCCTGACCTCTGCAAGGACAGATGGAAGCCTACTGAATGCAGGTTGTTAGTGTCCTGTGGGCCCAGAATGTATCTGTAGACTCATAGGCATGTTCAGTCTTCAATCAGTGAGAAAACTAACCTTCAGTCCGTGAGTTCAGTCTTCAGTCAGTATTTATTGGAATTCTGTAGGAAGCTGAGGCATGTAGCTAAAGAAAAAACTTGAAACATGGCTCTGCCTTTACCTGGGGAGGCAATACTAGAACAGTATAAAATAACTGAGCACAACATTCTTAGAAGGATTGGAATCATAAACCCATAGATGAAAAGCTCAGTCCTAGGGCCCTGCCCTCTTAGAAAAGCAGCATATATGCACCCAGGTGCTAATTAGGAAAAGAATGCTATGACTAATATAGGGATGGTGGGACTGATATTTCCAAGTGAGACTAAAACACAAAATTAGCACATTGCAGTCAGATGGCAGACATAATTCCACGTCTCCACTCAGAGACGTGGCATGTGAGGGCACCAAGTTCTTGGCCTGGAAGACTCCGGATGGGATGGGTGCATAGGACACGCCTGCAGAACAGCTCTTACTGCCATGCTAGGGAGCAGGAAGCTGCAGGCCTCAGGACAACCCTCTACCTGTAAGGGAAGGAAGTTGCACTGAAGAGAAAACTGATATTCCAGGAGTTTAGAGTCAGCAGGTGGCAGGGCAGGTGACTGTGGACTTGGCCCCCTGACCAGACTCCACCCCACAGCCTGTGCTCTGTTGCTTAGGACGTTGGTGAGGACAACAGGCCCTGGGGGCCAACCCTGAGTGCCTTGGTGGGTTGCTGCTCACGGCTTGGGGCAGTGGCTCTCAGACTTTGCAGCCTCAGGATCCCTTTTGTATGCCTAAAAATAATTGAGGGAGCCGGGCTCGGTGGCTCAGCCTATAATCCCGCGCCTTTGGGAGGCTGAGGTGAGTGGATTGCCTGAGCCCGCGGGTTCGAGACCCGCCTGGGCAGCGAGACCTCATCTCTGCAATAAATAAAAAAATCAGCCGGGCGTGGTAGCGCATGCCTGTAATTCTGGCTACTCGAAAGGCTGAGACGGAAGGATCGCCGGAGCCCAGCAGGCGAGGCTGCGGTGGCCGGGAGTGGCCACTGCACTCCAGTCTGGGGGACAGAGTGAGACTAAAAAAAAAAGATTGAGGACCTCGGAGAGTTTTTGTTATGTCAATTTCTTCACCACCAAGAAATTAAAACTGAGAAAAAAAAGCAATGTATTTATTACTTGAGATGATAGTAATACACCTATGTTAGCATAAATAACGTTTTCTTAATGAAAATAGTATTTTCTCAAACAGAATTTAATGAGAGGTGGCAGAATTTTTGTCTTTTCTGCACATATCTTTTATGTCTGGCTTAACGGAAGACATATGAGTTCTTAGGCTGCCTCTGCATTCATTCTGTTGTGATGTTTTATTTTGGTAGAGATGTATGAAGAAAGTCTCGATTTACATGGATATGTAGTTAGAAGAAGGGAGCGACATTTTTTTTTTGAGCTGGAGTCTCACTCTGTTGCCCAGGCTGGAGGGCAGTGGCATGCTCATGGCCACTGCAGCCTCGACCTGCTGGGCTCAGGTGATCCTTCCCCATCAGCCTTCCAAGTAGCTGGAACTTCAGGTGCGCTACCAGGCCCGGCTAATTTTTTTGATTTACTGTAGAGACGAGGTCTTGCCAAGTTTCCCAGGCTGGTCTCGAACCCGCACGCTCAGGCAATCCTCTCATCTCGACCTCCCAAAGTGCTGGGATTACAGGCTTGAGCCACCGCGCCCGGCCGGTAACAACATTTAAATAGTTTTTCAGATGACTGTAGATATTCTTTGATAGTATACCAAAACTCAAGAAGTGGTGGTTTCTTAATGGTTGGCCAAATGTGGAATCTGAGACCATATCAGTGAATTTTTTTGTTCTCTGTTACACTGAAATCCACTAGTCTGTCTTGCACTTTGCATGGATCCTTTACCTATCCATGATTTTGGTAATTCAGAAAATATTGGTTTATGTAGTCTTCCAAATGTTGATACATTTATTATTATGTTATCAACATTTTAAAATATTGCCACTGATCTCAAAAGTCTTTCAGTATAATATTGGGAAGTTGTTAAGCTGTTGGTAGTAGGTGTACATTTTCTTTTTTTTTTTTTTTTTGAGTCGGAGTCTCACTTGGTGGCCCAGACTGGAGTGCAGTGGCCGCTCCCGGCCACCGCAGCCTCGACCTGCTGGGCTCCGGCGATCCTCCCGCCTCAGCCTTCTGAGTAGCCGGAATTACAGGCATGCGCTACCACGCCCGGCTGATTTTTTGATTTATTGTAGAGATGAGGTCTCGCTGCCCAGGCGGGTCTCGAACCCGCGGGCTCAGGCAATCCGCTCACCTCAGCCTCCGAAGGCGCGGGATTATAGGCTGAGCCACCGAGCCCAGCTGTTAAGAAAATCTTTATTGGGCCAGGCATAATGGCTCACGCTTATAATCCCAGCACTGTGGGAGGCTGAGGTGAGAGGATTGCCTAAGCCCATGGGTTCGAGACCAGCCCAGACAACTTGGCGGGACCTCAACTCTACAATAAATCAAAATATTAGCCAGGCACGGTGGCGTGTGACTGTGGTTCCAGCTACTCGGAAGGCTGAGGTGGAAGGATTGCCTGAGTCCAGCAGATCGAGGCTGCGGTGGCCGTGAGAGTACCACTGCACTCCAGCCTGGGTGACAGAGTGAGACTCCAACTCAAAAAAAAAGAAAAAAAAAAGAGAATCTTTATCTTCCTAATCCCTTCTCTACAGAGTTAACTACCCTAATCCAAGACCTTTTACTTTGTCGCATTTTTTATATGTCTGTGGAATATTTTGGGGGATCCAATTTGGTTTATGTGTTCAACTCTGTGTCTTTGGGCGCTCATTTCCTTACAAAGGCTCTTGTGCTACATAAAACTTGAACTGAACAAATGTGTATGATTTTCTTTTTTTCTTTTCTTTTTTTGAGTTGGAGTTTCACTCTGTCGCCCAGGCTGGAGGGCAGTGGCACGCTCATGACCACCCCA